CTATACGAACACACTGAAAACTATAGATAGATAGAGAGATTGGTAGATATGAACACATTGAAAACGATAGATAGATAGATAGATAATGAACACATTCAAAACGATAGATAGATAGATAGATAGATAGATAGATAGATAGATAATGAACACATTCAAAACGATAGATAAATTGAAAACACATTGAAAACGATAGATAGATATGAACACATTGAAAACGATAGATAGATAGATAGATAATGAACACATTGAAAACGATAGATAGATAGATAGACAGATAGATAGATAATGAACACATTGAAAACGATAGATAAATTGAAAACACATTGAAAACGATAGATAGATATGAACACATTGAAAACGATAGATAGATATGAACATACTGAAAGCGATAGATAGATAGATAGATAGATAGATAGATAGATAGATAGATATGAACAGAATCGGAGAGATAGATAGATAGCTATTTTAGAATGTTTCAGTGTTGACATCGGGTATGGATTTCGGATTAGATAAATGTGTAAACGTCACATTGATGAATGGAAGAATTATAGAAACCCATTCACTACATCTAGATTCTGCCACTAAAATTATGGAACTAGAACAAGGAGAAGCCTATAAATAACTAGGAGTGAACGATGGAGATAGAATACAATATGTTGAAATGAAGGAGAAAGTAAGAAAAGAATATTACAGGCTTGTGTGTCTTGTGTTAAATACCGAGTTGAATTCACAAAATAAAATATCAGCCATAAAGACATTGGCTGTCCTTGTGGTGAAATACAGTTTCAAAATCGTTAACTGAACTACAGCTTATATTAACTGAATGGATGTCAAAAAGAGAAAGCTACTCACCACCACATGCATCATCTGTATGTGTCCAGATCCCAAGGAGGCAGAGGATTAGTTCAACTAGAACAGACTTACAAAAGCACAACAATCGGTATTTCAAAGATAGCTGGGAATTACAAAAGACTGGATGATGATCTGTGTTAGAGAAAATAATAGAAAAACTTTATTCATTAGTAAAGGAAGGCAACAAATTCAAAAGGGAATTTTAAGTGGGTGAAGAAGAGCAGATAAACCAAAATGCATCTACTGCAGCGATAGAGGACCTAAAAAAGAAAACAAAAGCAAATTCAATATATTCTTTTATTCTTGTTGCACAGAACCAATGCTTGCTAACTAGAAATTACCAAGCACACATACTAAAAAATTGTTATCCAGAAATGCAGATTCTCTGATAAATATCCAGAAACAATTGTATCAGCGATGAAGGAGAAAGTACGAAAAGAATATTGCTTCTAGTGTTAAATACGGAGTTGAATTAATAAAACAGAAGATCAGACTTTGGCCAAACCTGTGCTGCAATGGAATGGCAATATCCTTAACTGGACCAAAGCTGACATTAAGCGAACGGATGTTAAAACGCTAAATCTTTTCACTTTCAAAACGCACAACAATCGATCCTCAAAGGTACCTGAAACTACAGCAGAATGGATAATGATCTGTGTCAAAGAACATGAAAGAAATAAGAAACTATATTCAGTAATAAAGGAAACCAACAAATTTAAAAACGAATTTGAAACGGGTGTCGAAGTGCAAATAAACCATAATGCACCTTTTACAGCGACAGAGTACCTAAAAAAGAAAACAAAAGCAAATTCAATATACCAAATGCAGAAAACGATTGCAAGATAAACCTCTTCATGATCAATACTTTGCCCGTGCCAAACAAGCTGATGTAGACAAATCCCATACCCATCAGTATTTACACACTGCAGGGTTAAAATCTGAAAAACTGAAGTTTTTATTCTTGCTACACAGAACCAATACTTGCTAACTAGAAATTACCAAGCACACACACTGAGGAATTGTTTTAAGCCGAAATGCGTAATAAAGGTCATGAATGAATTGATCCTCATGTATCAGGTTGCATGGTGTTAGCACCAATTGAATATAAAACCCGTCATGTTAGGATAGGCCAATATCTGCACTGGAAAATATGCAACTTTTACTCGAAGGAAAATGTAAGAAATTCGTATGAACACAATCCAGACTCATTTACAGAGATTATGATCTGTAAGAATTTTATTGGACAATACACGCAAACAGAACAATCAAGGCTTTTTATCAAAGACTACACACAGAAAAAAAGCAGATTGTCATTTCCTATTGACAGGGCAGTTCCTGTAGATTGTAATGTATCTTTAAAGATCTTTACAAAATTATCATAATACAAAGATCCTAAGGTGGAAATCTAAAAAATGTGGACATCAATAATTCCAGTTGTAGTTGGATCCCTCGAATTGATTAGAAAAGCCTACAATAGATTCATCAAAGGGATTCCTGATAGCCCATCTCTTAAATATTATACTAACAAGTATAGCTCACAGCTTACGAAGAGCTGTATCTATGTAAAATGTGTGTGATTTTAAGGGGTTTTTTTTGTTTCTTTTTATAAAAATGGTCAGTGGAAAACGTCATGAGGCCATTTCTAAACTCCGGTTTCTGGTTGGGACTCGGAAGGAAATGTGTATACAACAGAAGTCAGAGGAAATAATAATAATAATAATAATAAACAAAATGGTTGGTGTAACTCTTCCAGTATTTTGCAACATTTGTAGAAAAGCGTAGTTTAAGAAGAGAAAAAGAAAAAAAAATGAGGTTTAACAATGTTTTGGCAGTATGTCTGTTTTCTACAAGTTATGTTGAAAAAATGCATACAAGTATAAAAATATCTTTTTTAAAAAAAAAATACGTTGTTTGTCTTGAGAAAAATGGTTGTACTGCTGATCAAGGCGAATAACTTAACGTACGAATTCTGTAAATATATTCAGTATCCACTGACCTTTAAACTCTTCAAACGCAGGAAGTTAATTACCCAGAGTGGAATTAACAGAATGACAGGAGAGTTCCATAAGATTTATATAATACTCTTTGACTAATTCTTCTTACTACCTTATCATCGGACGGAATATTTTAAGATGACGATGAAAGCGTGATGCTACTAACGATGTAGTTGTATTCCATTCAGACTGGCTACGTTTCATTCGCTTTGTCGTGTTGATTACCAGTATAAATAACCATTTCTCTCAAGACATATATATATATATATATATATATATATATATATATATATATATAATTATTTATTTAGAAAATTTATAACATAAACATGTTATAAAATCACTACAAAAATAGCTATTTTGTTTCAACACTACCGGTGTCTTATCAAGTGATGATGTTGAATGCAAAACAAAATCTTATTATATTTGTTCTACACTGTATTGAGAACTCTTTTAAGAATAGTAATTTTTTGGTCATTAGAATTCATTCCGTATACACCAATTATATACTTGTATATATATATATATATATATATATATATATATATATATATATATATATGATTGGTGTATACGGAATAAATTCAATAACCAAAAATTACTATTCTTAAAAGAGTGCTCAATACATGTAATAAATATAATTATTTATTTAAAAATTATAACATAAATATGTTATAAAATCACTACAAAAATAGCCATTTTGTTTCAACACCTCTGGTGTCTTATCAAGTAATGATCATTTTGTTTCAACTCCAGAGGCTATTTCTGGAGTGATTTTATAAAATATTAATGTTATAATTTTAAATTAAATATATATATATATATATATATATATATATATATATATATATATATATATATATATATATATATATATATATATATATATATATATATATATATATTCAATCATGTTTGATTAAATAATATGAACAACTTCCGCCTTTCAATTTTTTATCAAATTTTTCAGTTTTCCGAATTTGTTTTTTTTATGTTATCGGTAAATTTTACAAAGTTCATATTTATTCTTATTTGGAATTATTTTCTACCGAGTACTTTTGAATGTTGCTTCATTCATTTTCAAGGATTGTTCTGTGTGTAGTTACGCAACTGTTTTTTGCTTTCCGGCGTCCTCACGTTTGGTTGAATCAATTTCAAAAAAAATTTCGGAAAAAATAATATAAAATAAAAATAAATATGAAGTTTGACAAATTTACCGATAACATGAATTATGAATCTAATTATATTCACACACACCCGACCTAAAGGAAAAGCCAAATTAGAATTGTGCTCAGTACTGTTTTCATAGAATGAAACAAAAATAGGGCAAATTAATATATAAAATATTAAAAATACTAACCTTGCCACCACTGTTTCTGCCGAAAAGTTCTCTTCAGGCGACAAGTCACAATTTCGTCTAAGGCCTACATTTAATTATATGTGTACCATAGTGAGAGGCGGAGAAGGAGGAAAAATGGTGGAAAGAAAGAAAAAAGATTGAGAGAGAGAGAGAGAGAGAGAGAGAGAGAGAGGGAAGAGAAAGAGAGACAGACGTAGAGGAATAATATACCAGTACCAGAATAATTATGGGTAGGTTTTAGACGAAACAGGGAAGAAGCCTTTTCGGCAGACACAGATGTTACAAGAAGGTCAGTGTTTGTGTTAATATATATTATAAGCCATATGCTTTGGGTCGCCATTTGGATTTAATAGGTAATTCCATCCTTTCTTTTATAAAACTTATAACTCGAGGCTACTAAACCATATACGTCCAGAAATCGAATGATAGTGAGAAAAATCAAAAATCGATTTCGAAGAGAACGATCAACTGCCGGTCAAATTCTTGAAGGTATGAAAACCAAAAATCTAAATGCCGTTCCGTTATTCGTTTATTTCTCCAAAACCATCGATACGGTAAAATCGAAGAAACACTGCTAGACGACAGTGTACCAAATGAAACAGTAAAAGGCATTACGATGCTCTACAAAAACACATATTCAATGGTACAACCTCCACATGGCGATACAGTTTTCCATGAAATTGTAACTTGAATGCTACAAGGTGATGTAATCCAACCATATCTTCGACATTTGCTTGGATTACATTCCCATGACTTCTGTCGCTACTATTAAAGACAATGGATTCACACTTCATTCACGAAGGGTTTATAGATATCCTGCCACAAAAATCACGGATGCAGATTATATTGATGTTTTAGCCGTTATTCTCCAATCTGATAAATCAAGCAGAAACCCTTTTCCAGAATCTGGAAAATTCAGACAATGGTATCAGTCTATAACTCAGATAAAACAAAATATGTAAGCTTAACAATCAAAACAGTATCTGGCACACACATTGGTAAAGCCTGGGGTGCCGTCAACAAGTTATCTCTCGTCTGAAGGTTTAAATATCCAGACAACATGAAAAGAAACCTTTTTCAGAGAATTGTTCTATTGTATGGCAGCTCATAATTAGCAAGAAAATGGGTTGGAGTCTACACTAGCATGATAATAGTGAACTTGAATGTCACTTGGAGAGATCATCTGACCAATGAGCGATTGTATAGGAATCTTCGTCCGCTATCAGGCATCGGTCAAAGAATGTAGAATCAGATTCGCAGGGTATCGCTGCAGAGCTAAAGACGAAATTATGAGTGAAGTTCTTTTGTTGGGGCCTATACAAGGAGGAACTAGTAGAGAACGACAAACCATGACCTGTATCAAGGAGATTTGTGACGACATAAGCCGCAACGCCTCTGGCCTACCGAATATGATGACAGTTACGGGAATCCGTGCAAGCGGTATGACCGGATGATGATGATGATGATGATGATGATGAAGAGGATAACGATTATGGTACGTTCTTTGATTTGATTAAAATGCTTCTAAGCTAAAATGTCGAAACGATTTTTAAAAAAATCGTCATCATACACTATTAGTGCATGGCGACCATTTTTAAAGAGGTCGTTGCTTAAAATTTAAAGATCTACCAACTCAGATTACCATTGGCCTGTATAGTAGATCAGACTAAAAGAGCTAAAATTTTAAGTAAACTTTATACTCTAATAGGTTACTTATTGTCATTATTATTATTATTATTACTAGCTTAAAAGACGCCCTATTGAGCGGCATTTAAGCTAGCTCCTGCGGAGGTCTCTTGATTGGGCCGTCCTCACAATAGGTAGGGAGGTTTACATGCGATAAACTATAGAAGAACTCAAAATTGATCGTTCCATTTAAGTATTGGATTAATATTTAAGCTTACCTTTTAAAAGTTTAACGAAAATTCTTTTGCTGTCACGTAATTTAAACACAGTTTGATGTACGTAGGACTTTACTTTCAAAAAATTTGTCGCAAAAAAACACGTAAAAAAATCGCCGAAAACAATCGCAGTAACGAAAAATTGGGAATCCAAAATTTCGAATCCGGCCCAGAATATTTTTAATTTACTCACGGAGTTGGCGTGATTCCAAAATGGCATGATGTTTTGGGCTACGTCCTCTAATGTGTACAGTTGCAAAAGTCTGACACAAACATTAGCATTTATTATATAGAAGAAGAAGAAGAGCTATTGGAAGTTAGAGAGTTGTGTCCCTTTAATTGAAAAGTGTGACACAGTGACACACTGGTAGTTACATTTATTATATAGATTATTATTATTACTATTATAATTATTAAATATATTTTAAAACCTTTCAGGTACAGAAAGTCACTCTGGCCGAATGTGAGCTAGGAAATTAGATTTGAAAAGCCATGCAAACATCAATTTTTAAGCAAATCTTCGAAATCCAGACAATGGTCCCAAGGTCTATTTATCGGCAAACTGACTTCGTAGCTGTGTACCTGTCAATGTTACTTAGAGGAGAATTTCTTGTGGACGGTACAGGCAGTATATTTCGTTATGTTTTTTTCATTATTACCTTGAGCGGGAAACACGAATTCTTTTATTGTTTTAGTTTCCAGAAATACTACTTTTTTTTTTTTTTTTTTTTTTGTTGTTTATATTTTGAATTAAAACATATTGCGTCGTAAGGTTTGTTTAAGAGAAAACCGAGTAAATAAAATATTTGTGGTTTTCTCACGAAATTCAGTTCACCAGCTCGGCTAAGACAAGCTGTTTGAATCAAAAAAAAAAAAAAAAAAAAAAATAGTCACGGACTGAAAACGAATACGCCATTTAAATGTACTGGCGCGCACATGATGCAAGTTTAACTGAAGCCATTTATCTTGGGAAAGTGAGAAAAATCATATTGTTGCGAGAGAGGAGAAAGAAAACTAAAACAGAAAATGATACATCACACGAAAGTCATGTTCCTCTGATAAAATTACCAGTGTCTAGCCGGTCGTCTCATGCATATCACAAAACTATTTCATCAGGAAATAATTTTATATCCATTTTTTTGAAACGCATTTCCTCCTTTAACTACATCCAACATCAAAGCCTATGATCAGGTTTTGGGGTGGGCCGTGGAACTACTTCTTAATTGCTGGTGTTCCCAGATCTACCCTGACCCGGGGTGGTAGTACCTGTTAGGGTCCCAGGTATGGGCAAATTGTTGACCCCCAAACTGGGGTCAAAACATGACGAAAGTGTAAAAATCAGTTTTAATAGCAGCAATACATTTTTGTAAAAGTTATTACCATATACCACCTATTGAATTTTTTTAAGATAAAATTCTTACTGGCAATACATCATTTTAAGAAAATATTACTAGCAATACATTTTTGGAAAAAAATATTAGAAGCAATGCATTTTTGAAAAAAAAATATTACTAGCAATAAAAATCTTCTCGGTATTAAATAACCCATAGAGATTTATATGCTGTAATTCAAACCAAACTAAACCAAACTATATATATATATATATATATATATATATATATATATATATATATATATATATATATATAGATATATATATATATATATGTGTGTGTGTGTGTGTGTGTGTGTGTAACGAATGCACGGCCGCAATTTTCGACGGATTTGCACCAAAATTTACATGCACATGCTCCAAGTTAGACTGAAGGCCAAGACCGACTTTGCATTTCTCAACTCCCATCGATAGTGGAAATAATCGATTTCTTCGTGCTTCTACGGCACTTTTCATGTAGTTTGCGGCCATTTTCTACTTGCCAGAGTGAGAGCCAATAGCAGGCTGCCACGAATAGGCAGGAAGATTCTATTGGCCAGCGTGAGAGCCAACAGCTGACTGACACGAATGTTAACTAGCATGCGTGAGAGAGAGAGAGAGAGAGAGAGAGAGAGAGAGAGAGAGAGAGAGAGAGAGAGAGAGTCTATTATAAAACAAAGAAAAATAGTAAATGTTTCACTTTTATTAAAGCTTCATCAGATAATGAGATATGAGGAAAAGTGAAAAAGAGATTTTGCTATTTTTACTTTTGTATGTTTGATTTTCATTGGTCAGTCACGTTTCGCGTGCATTCGATTTGTTAAGCAAACGATAGTATAATTTATGGCATTCCGAATTCAAGGAGAGACGACCCGTTCATTCGAAATTTCAAAAATCAACGGATTTCAAGCCTAACTGAAAAACCGTAAATCTTACTATATGTATATAAGTGAATAAAATTTTTTGCTTGTCTATGGGATTCGAAATGAGACTGTATATTTTCGAGTGTATATGTGTGTATGTGTACCTGCGCGCGATTGTGCATGTGTTTATGTGTGTAAGTGACTAGAAGACATTATGCTTGTTAGGTTTTCGCATGTTGATCTGGGAACGTTTGTTTTAGATAAACATACGTTAGATTCTTTAAGAATGGATAAGGTTGGTGATGTAATATGTTTTCGACGTGTGTTTATAGTTGTTAATATTGTTATTAGTAGACTCTCAAAAGATTTTCTTCGTAAAGAATTGTGTTCTTTTTCAATTAGGATGTAAAATGTGCTTGGGTGTGTGGATGTGCGGGTGATGCAATGGATAGCAAAATGAGTAATCGGAGAGCCGAGTTTGAATTCTAGCCGAGTTCATTATGTTTACTTATTTACAAATAACTTTAGGAAATGTACAAATCCATCTCTTTGTCTCCCTCTAGCTATGGGTTATACAGAAGAAAAAATTGGACTCTTTAGCCTTCGTTGGCAATTAGTGTAGGAGAATTCTGAATTAAAAAACTGAGGAGGATTTTTTGTAGTCGAGGTGCACCAGCTTCCTGTATTCGCTTCTTCCGAAAAATGTGGTTGTTTCTGTACAAGTTTTCACGCCACTATAATTAAATCATATGTGCGTGTAGTCTGGTTAATTGGTTCTAAGAACAGAGCTGCTAAACCATCGTATTCAGACCCACAATTATTCCTACTCAATAGGCCATAGAATAATTCGAAACACAACCACCACCTCCCAGCAAAATAAACGTTAAAATAATACAATGGACTACTCACAAATCAATACAATATTTCTCGGTTCTTCTGTGCTTTTGTTGGTATATGTGTGTAATCTATTTCGTTTTCTATTTGATGGGTGTTGATTGATTCTTCTTTCCTTCCTCATATTTTTTTTACTTTTTTTTTCTAATTTATTTCTTTACCCACCAATAATAGGACAAGCGAACCAGGAAACAGAAACAACGTCAGATTAACTGTTGCGACGATTGGTTAGACACATATAGCCAAGAAACTCCGGAGTAAACATGAGTTAAGTGTTTTCCACATTAATTCTTCGATACTGAGCACTCTACCACAAAGCTTGCTTTCCTGAAATGCTTTTTTGCCAGCAAATCACTAAAAAACCAACAATTTTAGCTTCAAAATAGTATTTAAAATTAACATATATATATATATATATATATATATATATATATATATAGAGAGAGAGAGAGAGAGAGAGAGAAAGAGAGAAAGAGAAGGCCCGGTGGAGTAATGGATAGCGGCTTGTATTGAGAAATCGGAGAGCCGAGTTCTAATTCCAGTCGAATCCATTACATTCACTTACATGCTAATACCCTTCGGATAGGTGTGAATCCTTTTCTACTCCCTCCAGCTATGGGTAAATAGCAGGACACACTGGGTTCTATAGCATTGGATGGTGACCGGTCTAGGAGAAGGACAGCTCTGAATTCAAAACCTGTGGAGGGTCGTTTGGGGACCTTGTGGCACGTAGTGCATCAGGTCTTTGTGTTCGGCCCTTCAAAAAGTGTGGATGGTCCTGCACGAATGAAACCTACACTACTTTAATCAAAATCTCATGTGCTGTTGTCGGGCTAGGAACTGATCTGCTTGACCCTCATACATCGAATTCGACGGGAGAGTATATATATATATATATATATATATATATATATATATATATATATATATATATATGATCTTTAAAAAGAGATCATATTTTATTCATAAAAAAGGGTAATCACAGCGATTAAAATTTTAGGTACCTTTTGGCCGAAACCTCTTCAGAATAAATAATATTGTCGTTAAGTAAAAGTAAGTGGTTGAAAAGAAATTTTTTTTTCAACAACTGGTGTTAAAATATACCAAAACTAAGAGAGGGAACAAAACAAAAAGAGGAAGACGTTATATATTAATAGCAACCAAGTCCAAGATGTCCAATTGGAGTCTGATCCGTGCCTTGTGCCAGACCGAGAAGAACTCATGAGAATAGTCCTACCCTGTGTAGCACGTTGGCCTTATTTGGAGAGCTGATCGTCAATTCAATGCCTAACTAGGAAAATGGTGCTATTTTTTTTTTAAGGCGCGCTACTACGAAGGTATTCACTGAATTTGTCAATAAATTTGATTGATTCTTACTTCTTTTGTTTGTGTTACGTAATTCTTTGCAGTTTGTAATTAAATACTGTTTATTTAACATTGAAGTCTTAAGAAGTACTTTTATTTAGGGCCACCCATACTGGCCCCAAAAGATATCTCCCCTAAACACTACTACCCATTTATACAACCTGTTTTCCTCAATCCCTCTTGTCTTCAGGTCGTCCTGTGTGTATAACATTTTCCAAGCCCTCTTTCCTCAATATGTTCACTAGATATTTCAACTGGCTCTTCATGATGTTTATTACAAATATCCATTGTGTTTCGATTTTCTCTAAAACTTCGTCATTGCGTACATGTAATAGATGTCAGTCAGACAGTTATGTGCCATCCGCGATTACACGCTTAGGTGATCATGTATTATTCGACACATGACTGACGAGGCAAAATTTTTCCCCGCAGTAGGTTGCCATTTCTTTCTGCAGGAGACCAGTTGCCATCAAAAGGCTATAGAAACCGGTCTGTCCTGCAATTTACCCATAGCTGGAGGGAAAAGAAGAGAATTCATACCTTTCTCATGGGTATTAGTACATGAATCAGTCAGTTATGTGCCATCCGTGATTACACACTTAGGTGATCATGTATTATTCGACACATGACTGACGAGGCAGACTTTTCCCGCAGTAGGTTGCCATTTCTTTCTGCAGTATACCAGTTGCCATCCAAGGCTATAGAATCCAGTCTGTCCTGCTATTTACCCATAGCTGGAGGGGAAAAGAAGAGAATTCATACCTTTCTCATGGGTATTAGTACATCAGTCAGTCAGTTATGTGCCATGCATGATATACGTTTAGGTGATCATGTATCTTTTGATACATGACTGAGTCGGATTTTTCCCCGCAGTAGGTTGCCATTTACTTTTGAAGTAGACCAGTTGCTATCCAAGGCTATAGAACCCGGTCTGTCCTGTTATTTATTGGAGGGAGAAGAGGAGGATTCATACGGGTATTAGCACATAAGTGAATGTAATGGATTCGACTGGAATTCGAACTCGGCTCTCCGATTGCTCAATCCAAGCCGCTATCCATGCCTCCTTTAATAGATGCAATTAAGATTATTATCTACATGAGATATTTGTAGCTTGAGATCTCTGAAGTTTAGACTAATACAAGAGTAGTTCATCAAGTAAGGCTAAAATTTATCACCCAATAGTCATGAAATATCCTCACCGTTATTCCACAAGGCGCTCTCTCTCTCTCGGCCATTTCCCTAGCCTTCCGGTGGCTTGTTGTTAAGCACACACATCTCCTGAAACATTCATACTATTTCGACTATTGTAAATTTCAAACGAAATTATTTATTTTTGTTTCATTTTATTCACAGCTAATGTGTGAGCCTTTGCTTACATCTTTTTTTTATATTGCAGGTTTTTCCGAGAATAAACTGTTTATTAGGGCTCCCCGGGGTGGCCAATATCGACATCTGGGAGTCATTGGGACTATCCAGTGGCGTCAGTAAATGCCTGGAAGAATCAAAAGGCGATTGATAAATACTTGATTTGGAAATAGAAAATACAGACACCGAATCATACAAGATGACCTCGTAGATATGTGTGTGGAATCTCGAAGCTAAACCATTGTTAAAAACTAAACGCCTCGGTGACTATTGGATTAATGTAAATACGATTACGAAGTGTTTCAAGCTTAGTGTTGCAGTTCCACCATTTTTAATTACCTTCTCAAGTTTGTATATGGATGAAGTTGGCTTTACTTTGCTAAGTCTTATGCTCATGAAAGAGAGAAATAGATTGAATCTGGAAGAGTCTGGTGAATAAGGTCTAAAACTCACTAATTTCCAATTGGTTTTGAAGCGACGATCCAGTAGATTAATAAATTTCTGGGAAGTCAAAAGTGGAGGGATAAATAAATCGTGCTGACTTATGACTAAAACTGGGTTTGTTTAGCGGCATATCAACTCCATAGGGGGGGTGTAATGCTAAAATTTCATTTTCTTGGGAGCATTAATAATTTTTTTACAAAAATGTATTGCTGGTAGTTTTTTTTTTTATTTCTTTATCAAGACTGTACTGTTGGTAATATTTTCTTTCTTTTCAAATATGTACTGCTGGTAATTTTTTTTTTTTTTTTCGTTTCTCGAAAATGTACTGCTGGTAATATTTTGTCAGTAATGTACAGCTGCTAATATGTTTTTCAATAATGTGCTGCTGGTAATTTTTTTTTTTAATGGACTGTTGGCATTTTTTTTTAAATTTACTTCTGCTAATATTTGCTTTTTATAAAAAATATACTGCTGGTAATATGGTTTTTTTGTTTCAAAATTGTTCCACATTTTATAAAGCTTTTCATAATGAGTGAGTTATACTTGTGAGTACAATTTTTTTTTATTTCTTTAAAGCATGTGCGCTACTAGGAATCACTTCAATGCATCTATCGGAAGCTTTTCCAATCAGCCCGAGGGCTCCGAAAATATTGATGTCTTTATGTACCGCTACTTTTAGATTTCCATTAATGAATCCTTGTATTTTGATAGTTTTTTGGTAGTTTTTTGAAGATCTTCAGAGGTACATCACAATCTGCAGAAAGTGTCAATAAGAAAACACATTCTGTTCTTGTGGTCTTTCATAACGATGTTGTTCTCTCCATGTTTATTGTAAAGTCCCATCAAATTGTTACATTCTTATATCTGTAACCGAGTCTGCGTGGTGTTCATACCAGTTTCGTGCAGTTTCCTTCCCGTAAGGTTGCAGATTTCACATGCAGATATTGGCCCATTCTATCATACCGAGTTTTATATTCATTTGGTGCTAACACTGTGCAAGATGGCCAATTGTTTTTTGGATATTTATCAGAGAATCTGCATTTGGGGTCAACACAATTTTTCAGTATCAATTCTTTGTAATTTCTAGTTAACAAGCATTGGTCCTGTGCAGCAAGAATAAATCCTTCGGTTTCAGCTTTTAACCCTGCACTACGTGGCCACTAATGGGTATGGGGTTTGTCTACATCAACTTGTTTGATATGAGCAGAGTATTGACAATGAAGGTACTTATCTTGCCATCGTTTTTGCATTTGGTACATTGCATTTGCATTTGATTATTTTTAGGTTCCTTGCTGCTGTAGTAGGTGTATTATTATTATTATTATTATTATTATTATTATTATTATTATTATTCGAACAAACATGTCCAGTATAGAAAGAAAAAAATTAAAAAGAAATAAGAAAATGTAAAGCTAAAATTAATCTTATCGGGAAACAACAATGAAGAAAAAAGGCAAAGTAATTCTACCCTTAAATAAAAATTTATTATATATATATTAGACATCCGTCAACATTCATTTTTTTTCTCTTAATTAAACCCCTTCCACCCATCTCTCCTAAATTTCTCTCTGTTAAGGTTTAATCTCCCTTCTCCTCATACTTACACTCTCTCTAAATTCTGTTTTTATTTCCAGAGTTGTTTTTTTTTCTGTTTTCTTTTTGAATTTGTAGGTCTGATGAATTGGATCGTATTTACGATTCCAATGGAATAAATTATGACCATGGAATATTAGTGTTTAAGCCTTTTTATTATATCCTTACTCTGTCCTGGACATTGTGTTCTACCTGGATTCTTTCTCTTGGAATTTTTTTTTTCTAAAAATATACATATATGGGTATTTATATTTATATATTTTGCATATGTATGTATATTTTCCACTAATATTATCATTATCTATCTATCTATCTCTCTATCTCTCTCTCTCTCTATCTCTCTCTCTCTCTCTCTATATATATATATATATATATATATATATATATATATATATATATATATATAAATTCTTAGAGCCATCAAGGAATTCATGATTTCTTCTGTAAATAACTGCTTTCATCTAGCCAGTTTCAACTTGGCTTCAAATCATGGCTAATGGTTAGCGTGGTTAAAGTGCTGATTAACAGAATATAATTAATAGAAAACGTGAAGTACCAACGCGAGAGTCTTTTTTATAACTTGTCAGTCCTTGTGAAAACGCTGAATGGAATTTAGTTCTTATACTTGAAACACTGTGGAAATAACGGTGATTTGACTCCGTCAAAATAGTATGGCAGGTTCTAGCTGCCAAAGACGGAACACATCTCTGGAAAATTCTGTAAAGACTTTGTCGCTGGTGAAAACACTCCTCTCTGTTGCTGTGTATAGTGTACCTATTCTACACGCCATTGTTGTCTGTTTGCCTTGTGCCATTTTTGTCTCGAGCTGTTCGAGAATATGTTCGTTTTGCTCGTGCCATATTCTCTTGTGCCAATCCTGCACGACTTTCTACCAGTAGTGGGAAAACCGAGATACGATCCCAATCGAGAATTCATGGGACATAGTACAAAGGCGTATCCCCAGACAGCATCTTGAACATACAGATATCAAAGAACTGTGGACATCTGTCAAGAAACCATGTCTCAACATCTGACATGGAATCAATTCAACGTCGGGTTACCGCCCTTAGATGAACTAACTGTTGTCTAGACATTTGCTCTAGATTAGGGTGTCCCAGCCTGGGCGATATCGCTCACTAGTGGACGAATTCAGCAGTTGGGTTGGCAATGAGCAATTGAACAGAAAATAGTTAACAACTGTAAATTTTGATGGGTGATATAGGGTTTTAACTATTAAAAATGTATTTCAACATATGCTCTAATTAAAATATTCAAAGGAGATGCGTAAGGAACCCGCATTAAAAGAAAAACGGAAGCTCTTTGGGAATAAATGAGTCGCGTTCCTAGATAATATATAAATATGCCCAAAACAACAAATATGTTGATATTTTTTATAGCTTTGAGAAGACTCATTAACATTCAAATAGTTCTTCAGACGAAATAACATTTTTTTCGGATATAAATCAAGTAAGAGAAGACCAAGAACAACAAAAATATTCGCTGAAACTTTATTAGTTTATCATACTTATTATAAAACCCAGGTTGTGTGTGCGTGTCTGTTCGTTTATATATTGGATCAGATTTCCTACATTTTTCAACCGATTTCAACAAAACTTCACAGGACTACGTACAATTACCTTGCGGTGGCTCTGACGGCGCCAAAAAATTGGAAAAACACAATTTGCTTTTGAAAGAAATGAATTTGAAAACACGATTAAGAGGCATCACGAGAATGAAAGGGGGACAACTCATATCAAGTTATACTTATTATAAAACCAAACCGAGGTTGTGTGTGTGTGTGTGTGTACGTTTATATATGGATCGGATTTCCTACATTTTTCAACCGATTTCAACAAAACTTCACAGGGCTACGTAAAATTACCTTGCGGTGGTTCTGACAGCGCCAAAAATTGGAAAAAACACGATTGTTTTTGCAAGAAATGAATTTGATAACACCATTAAGAGGTATCGCTGTCACGAGAATGAAAGTGGGACAACTTATATCGAGTTATACTTATAATGAAAACCGAGGTTGTGTGTGTGTGTGTGTGTGTGTGTGTGTGTGTGTGTGTGTGTGTGTGTGTGTGTGTTCTCGTTTATATATGGGATCGGATTTCCTACATTTTTCTACCGATTTCAACAAAACTTCAATTTTTTTTTTTTTGGCAGGTAGTGTTTCTCATTGTCTTGCACACTTTTTTCTTTATTTTTACATTCAGAATGCTTTAAAAATTCCATTTACAAGACAATAGTTTATAATAAAATTCTATCCAATCGGTAGACGCATAACGATTGAAAACAATGTTTTTGTTTGAGTTTGGGTTTGACCAATTCGTAAATTAAAAAAATAAAAGTAAAAATAAAACTAATTAAGACATGCGTGCCCGTCAACCTTAAACAATAATCTTTGTCAATTTTATTTTACAGTCTTTATGATGGTCGATACTTGATCTATCTCTTACTGCTACATCCCCGGGCAACGCCGGTCTCTACTGCTAGTATTTTATAATTATGAAGAAAAATTTGATGATTATAATATATTTTTATAGTTATGAACACAAATTGTTTAATTTTTTGTCAACACCAGCAGCGCTAAGCCTAACCATAAAACTTACCTTTACAATTAAACTAAATTATATATATATATATATATATATATATATATATATATATATATATATAAAATATTCAAGGCTCAAGTTTACTTTCGTTTGTTCTTTAATACGTAAGTCAGTTTACGAACCAGTAACAAACATTTATTAAACAATTTTGGTATGCTTTTAAATATTTACTATATTGATGATCCTTGGAAAAAAAATTTCCGTGTGAAATTGAGAAATGACGCAAATCTTTTTGAAAACCTCTGGTCTAGATTATATTCATATTATTCGTAGCATAGGCACTTGAACACCTTTTGCGTAGCGTCATACGAATAATATTAATAGGAATCCCTCAGTTCCGTAAGAGTTGTGCTCTGAATGATGTTTCAAGCGCCAATTCGGAAATGGCAGTCTCTCTCACACATTGCGAAAATGGAGTCTCGCGTTGGTTAGTGTGATAAGACTATGGGCTTTCCTATTTTTTGTCGCTTCACCTCTGATTATTGGAGAAGTGTTAATTCGAATATGGAGAAAGCTTTCTGCAGTGTGTCATCCTAGCTTAAACAGTTTGGTTTCTGTCATATCAACACACCCGCTTCTTCCTTTTGCCATAGCTTATCAAATCTATCTATCTATCTATCTATCTATCTATCTATCTATCTATCTATCTATTTCTCTTCGTATCTATCTATCTATCTATCTATTTATCTATATCACTTTTTTATCTATCTATCTGTCTATCTAGTCATTGATTTTATTCTCTTCGTATCTATCTATCTATCGATCTATCTCACTTCTTTATCTATCTGTCTATCTAGTCATCGATCTCATTCTCTTCGTATCTATTAACAGACTTTTTCCATCTGTTTTATTTATAATTTTTCATCCCTCTCTCTCTCTCTCTCTCTCTATCTCTCTCTCTATCTATCTATCTATCTATCTATCTATCTATCTCATTCTCTTCCTATCTATCTATCTATCTATCTATCTATCTATCTATCTATCTATCTATCTATTTTGAATGTCTATCGTTGGAGGGCTTGTTGGAAAAATATATTTACGACAGAGAAGTGAGTTCGATCCTCACGAGGTGTTACATATTTTCGGCCTTGCGCGATATCTAAGCCTTGCTTAGTAATCAATACATAATCTATCACCTGGCATAAAGTTCTGTAAAATTTCATCACCATCGGAAATTGTTATTGATCGTTTTCATATCGATCTCCGTTTTTCTTCCTGGTGTTCTCTATTTCTCTTTATCACAGTTCTTAATCTCTCCTCTTTCTCTATCTATCTATCTATCTATCTATCTATCTATCACAGGCTTTATCTGTCTATCATTCTATCTCACTTTCTATCTATTTATCACAGCTACACATCTCCCCCATCTATCTATCTATCTATCTATCTATCTATCTATCTATCTATCTATCTCTGTCTCATATAAATGCGTTTGATATTTAGGTGGATGTTATTTTGCTGTTTATTTCATTACCAGTCCATATTTATATGTTTATTGCTGGTTTCATATTTACACATAGGTATAGAATATAATATATATACGGTCTTTGATGGCATATAACTTCTCCGGAAATGTAAGATTCCTTCAGTCCTCATTTTCACCGGGGAGTAGTTTAAAAAAATATTGAGTAATAGATTGAATGTTATTCAAACTTAAAGTCTCAGTTCAATTCGTGCATTTCTTACAAATTTAAAGATTCTAAAATTAGTGAGAGAGAAGTAGATTTTGATATTCCGTCAATTTTACTAGCACACGTCACTTGCACATACACATATATCTTTCCGGTCTCAGACTTCAAGTTTTAAATAATATTTGACCCGATAACCTACCCTTAATATTATCTGAGGATTTAGAGCGTGAAATATATCAGCAACCTACACAGGGACGCAAAAACAGATGGCAAACGCGGAAAGAGATAGGTGCATCCAGGATCTTGTGCATGTGTGTTGCTTTCTGCTCACAGTTTTTTAGCAGATGTTTTTATTTGTCCTTACAAAATATTACGGATAGATTTCCGGATATTTCCTTCAATTATATGATGTGTTGGTGCGGCTACTGGATTTTCCGTTTCTTTTCATCATTCGGATTCAAAGCTTTTTATTCACCGGTAACACTAGTCTGATTTGAAGCGCCATGCAATCGTCAGGTGCTGATTGAAATCTGACAGTCGTAAAATTTAAATATTGATATTTATAGCTTACTGTAAAGATATGTGAAACATTCCATTTATTTAAAGGGGATACACAGTGGCCAAAGAAATCTTTTTAGCCAGGAGAAATAAATTACATCTAATTTCAAAATTTAATTACGTAATCCCAACTCAACATAAGCAAACAGTATTTGGAACTAGTATAGAGTAGGTCCTCCATTTGCTAGTTTCAGTGCTTGTATTTGATTTTTCATGGATTTGATCAAGTTTTCAACAATCGTCTGAGCCATATTTTGCCACTCCTTTAGCAATATTTCTTTAAAGGTTGCCACTGACGCGATTTGGGTTGCACGCTCTCGAAGTCTTCGGTCAAGGTACTCCCAAACGTGCTCTATTGGATTCATGTCATGATTTTGGGCTACCCATGGCAGTGACTCCTTGCTATTTCTTCCAGGTCTTTGCTACTTTGCTCGTATGACATGGTGCTCTATTTTCTTAAAAAAGGTAGACATAGTGGGAGTAGTCCTTTCTCTAATATTTGACAGTATTTTGGTTCATTCAACTGCTCGTCATCAAGAATCAGTTCAGATTTCCCTCCAAACCAGACAGCACCCCACACCATTACCCCAATCCCTCCATATTTCACGTTCATTAGGTGTTCCAAGTTTCATTCTGATTTCTCCAAAGATAAACCAATATCGAATTAGAATTTTGGCAGAATTTACTTTCATCTGACCAAATTAAAGAAAGTGCCTAAAAACCATACGACGGGTTGACCCAAGTGAGTGAAATTGTGTAGACGAAACTCTTGAGGGCCGTCGATAGTTGTGCAAGCACAAAGCCACGAGTCATCGTGGCCGAAGGCTTGAGCGTGCTGGCCTTGTTCAAATTGTTGATCACGCTAGATAACACGCTCTTTTCCAGAAACTGTAATTAAGATCTGTTCAGCAGAGTTGCAGTATAAACCACACTTGGGCTCGAATACGAGTGGCCAGCTATTTTACAAACACACACACACACACACACACATATATATATATATATATATATATATATATATATATATATATATATATATAGTTTTATTATTACCACTCATGATAATAAAAAGTAAAAATGAAAAACGTGTTAGCTAACCGTTTTCGTACCTTGCTCAACAGAGCTAAATTGAGGTATGGCTTTTTATAAGGTGTTCTGCGATGTAAGTCCATCGCAGAACACCTCATAAATAGCCATAATTGTGCTGTTAATTTTAGTGCGGACGCTTTTACCATTCTTAGCAAGTCCCACTCAAATTACCACCTAAAAGTGTAAGAGGCCATCTATATTCATTAAAGCCTTCTCTATGTAAACAGAAGGACTTTGTATTAGGCCTCCAACTAATTACCATTTAAATTTTTTCTATATATATATATATATATATATATATTTAGCCAAAGTTCTTTTTAAATCAGTATATTTATTCTGTGGTGTCAGTATATATATATATATATATATATATATATATATATATATATATATATATATATAAAAGAAAAATATTTGGAAAAAACAAACAAAAATCCTTAAATGCAATTATGTTGTTTTAATATGAATGAATGTTTCAATATTTCATTCATATTAAAACAACATAATTGCATTTAAGGATTTTTGTTTTTTTTTTCCAAATATTTTCTTCATTCTGTCGGATCTATATCCATTTATATTTGTTTTATTATATATATATATATATATATATATATATATATATATATATATATATATATATATATATATATATATATTGATTTAAAAAGAACTTTGGCCATTATTTTTTATATAGGTTTTCCTTAAGAATTCTATCAACCAAGATTTCTTCAGTTGGAGTCATTTGGAACGAGACAGAAGATGATATTCATAAGAACGGAAGAGTAGAAATCGGAGGGAAACTTAATTACGGAAGCCGACAAAAACAATTTACTGTTCTATTTTATTTAGTAATTATTTTTACAATAAGTAAGCTTTGTTTATTTTGTCATGTCAGAATCAATCTCCCATATTTATAAGACTTCCATTGCTTTGAATATTGATGCCATATCTGGTGTGGCGCTTCTGCTATATATTTAGAGATTCTTGATAAAATTTAAGAAGAATATGCAATATTATCGGCCCTGACATGGCATCTTGGCTTCATTCATTTCACCACAACGTAGCTTCACTGTGACTTTTCTATAAATAATTTCTTAGCAATTGTTATGATGAACTTTTAATTTCCGTTCCTAACCTTTATGAATTTAAGCGCAGTACTAGATTTTAGAGTTGAAATAGCTAAATATAATCGTAAGTTCTATGCTAACAGTTTCTTCCCTCGCACTTCTCGCTTGTGGAACACTATTCCGGCTTCTTGGTTTCAACTTTGATCTTCCAAAAATGTATATGTAATGTGAATTATTATCTTCTGTCTTCTTAATTCTTGTTCAATTTATTGTCCTCTCTCCTTAATAGTGGTTCTGTTCCTCATATTCCTCACACTTAATAACCATTTCTATTAAAGCGAACCTTTAAGATTCCTAAAAATTCGTTTGAAGATGAAACGGGACTAAACACCTCAATTCAACTTAATTTTAATAATTATTTGGATGGTTTCGGCTCTCGTTTTTGAAACATGAGAACTCTTATGTAGCGAAGGAATCATATTTTTAAACAAACAAATATTATTATAATAAAGTTCTACTACTGTATGGAGCACTGTCTTCTTAAAAATAAAAACAAAAATACGAAGGAACCCCGGATTATGCACCCGACGTGTTCTTTGCTATTTTCTGCATACCTGCGCACTTATATATATATATATATATATATATATATATATATATATATATATATGTGTGTGTGTGTGTGTGTGTGTATGTGTGTATGTGTGTGTGTGTGTGTGTGTATTGTGGCATCTTTTGTCAATAACGATATATGAAGGTAGGGTAAAAATAATTTTTGCACTTAAGAAATGTTGCCTGTGAAAATTATGAAGAGTTAGGAATGCCTCTTTTCATGATGGACACATCCTGCCTCACAGCGTGTAACAAATCCGCATTGACATATGAAATCTGTTATCGCAGGGTTACGATCATACCTCTGCTTAAGATTAGCGCAAACTTCGTCACGATGCTCACGCCTTTTCCTTTGAAAACATTAAGCTTGCGAAACAAGTGGTCTTCCATTCTTTACGAGTTTCCGCAACGTTTGCCCAGGTTTTAAAATCGAAGTTACAGCGCTTGATGCTACACTTTATTTTATCCTTGTAACGCAAGAGGGAACGGCCTTCAGGTCGTTTGCCATTCTAAATCTAGCCGAGAACAGCTTTTCTGGAAAATAGTTCTTTTCAAGTGATATACCCATCCCTTTATCATGAGGAAAGTTTGCATACTGATATATATATATATATATATATATATACAAATGAAAAAAAGAACTGATGGAGTAAAAAAAGAGCTCAATATAAAGTAGAACAAATAATGATATAAATTACAATAAAAACTTTCATGTTTCAGCACTAAGATGGCACTTCTTCAGGCGATGGTAGATAACTTGGGAGCTTTAAAACAAGTTATCTACCATCGCCTGAACAAGTACCATCTTAGTACTGAAATATGAAAGTTTTTTTGTACGGATGGAAAATGTTTTTATAGTAATTTATTATAATAAAAAAAAATATATATATATATATATATATATATATATATATATATATATATGTAGAATGTCTATTTATTTTTATAATAATATGTTCATCAGGGGTGAATTGCGAAGACAAACCTAATGTAACTGTGATCGTCGTGATGATTAATTATTTAAATTTTTTTTTTATTTAGCCATTGTAGTAATGGTGTTTCTGCACGCATCCCAATATAAGGAAGCTAAACCATAAATTGATAGAATACAAGAAGGCATTATGTGTTGGTTAAATGCTCTTGAAAATGAGCGTTACTGCTACACTGGTAATAAATTTTGTTCAGTGTTGGTTGGTTGGTTGGTTTTGATATAGAGTCCCTCAAGAATTTGAAGTTTTTGATAATTATCTTCATGGTTTAGAATATACAGTGCAATATATATATATATATATATATATATATATATATATATATATATATATAAAAATGCGTCCCGTAACCGAACATCCCTTTCTAAATATTTTTTGCATTTAAAAGAAATTAATAAACCCCTACTGTAAATCCTTAAATGACCACTGTTCCCTGCGTTTGCATGAAAAGATACATATTAAAAAGTCTCCTAAAAATAAAGTTCTAAATCAAAGAAATGAATCAACTGTAATTTGTAGACATTGAATAATGTTTACTCTAAAATATAGTTAAAAGTTTTTTCAAAAAAATCTACGCATTACAATTACATATCTATTACTTGATTAGTATATATATATATATATATATATATATATATATATATATATATATATATATATGCGTTTTACTCATTTTGTTGTTGCTTATTATTATTAGATTTACTTGTGTTTGTGCGTGAATTCAGATTCTTGATTTTTTGTTATTTGCATAATTTTTTATTTATTTATTTAGATAAATTAAATAAAAATAAATTAATATACAAATTAATATACAAATATAAATATATATATAAATTAATATACAAATATAAATATATATATATAAATTAATATACAAATTAACAAATTATGAATTCAAAAGACAAGCACAAGAATATAATAATAATAACAAATAATTAAATAATAAATAATGAATAAAATTTTAACAAACGACATTATGACATTGCTACAAATAACTGCATTCAGTTACACAATGGTTCCTCTACAATAAGCTCTAGAATAAATTGAAACATAAACATTACCGCCCACACAATAACCATCAGGGTAATACAATAGACCTTGCTACCCATAATGCACCACCGTCAAGAATAAAGAAATAGTCGAGCCAAAACACAACACACATGTCCGGATGATTGCGTTCAAGCATGAAACAAGCTATCACCATTCAGTGTTGACCTCAGTGTCCACTTTTATATTTACATACGTTCTATCCCCGGCATTAAGCACTTTAAAATATAAACATAGCATACATTAAACTATGTTATCTATCTATCTATCTATCTATCTATCTATCTATCTATCTACACAGACCCACACAGATAGGCACACACGCCTATATATATATATATATATATATATATATATATATATATATTACTTCAAATGTTATTGTAGGGAATACTCGAATTTGGGATCTGTCGGCTACAGAATGCGTCGATGAAGAAGCAAAGCTGAATAGTGACTTTGAATACAGACTTTTTCCCTGACTCTTGATATAGACATATCTGCTCAGATACGTATCTCAAGGTAAACAAAGCAATTTCTAAAGAAAGGGATGGATTTTTTAAATTTATTAATCCGACAGATACACCATTGGAAAATTTGTAAACTTAAGGAATCAACACATATGTTAGGCCACAAAAATCTCCTGAGCCGACCAAACATAACAATGAATACAATATGAGAACCAGTAATAAGAAGTGTCAGCGATAATAGCAACAAAATTTGCAATATGAACTCTGGTAAAAACATGTATGATAACAGCAAAAATTGCAATATGAGCACTACTAAAACATGGTTGCTGAACACATCAGGTTTATAATACCCAGAAATTCTTACACAGACACATGGCACAGTGGATGAAGGCGTTAGTTAGATCCAGTGACAGTACCCAAAGAGCGTGAGTTCAATACTCGGTTAAGGCAGTGGAGAACTTGGAGAGGGGAATTAACAGGAGATAACTGATAACTGGATCTATGAGACATGGCATGTAGAACTAGTCTACCCCAGTGAGCGAAATAAAGGGTTCAGTTCGACATTCCAACCACCTGAAGAAGGCCGAAAACGTCGTAATAACTATGGCGGCAAAGATGAAGACAATAGTCCGAATAATGTAAATAGTGTAGATATTTATTAATTAAACGTTATTTTTAGTGGCTACTCGTATTAATTCGTGTGTAGATAAATTGAAACTTTAGACAACTACAACAGCAGACAAACTGTGGCAAACAAAGTTTAGATAAGGTGAAGTAAACAGGATTATATTAAACAAAATGTTATTTTTAAGGAATTTCGAAATTTTTTATGCTAGAAAACTTTAAAAGGGTCGCCTTATACATTTATATAGAAAATATATATTTATATATATATATATATATATATATATATATATATATATATATATATATATATATATATGTGTGTGTACCCTAAAATGCGATACTTATTATATTGAGCAATGCAACAAGGCAATATTAAAGTTGGAAAAATTAAAAAAGTAAATATTAAGTAAATATATATATATATATATATATATATATATATATATATATATATATGCATGTATTACTTATCATTTACTGGTTACTTAATTTTATATATATATATATATATATATATATATATATATATAAAAAAAAGAGGGTGCGTCTGCAAACGTTTTTGGTTGTAATGTGGATTTATTGAGAAAAAATATTATACTTTGTTTTACATAAATGTTAAGTGAAATTATGTAAAACAAAGTATAATATTTTTTTCTCAATAAATCCACATTACAACCAAAAACGTTTGCGGCAACCTTCTTTTTTTAATATACATACTTTTCTCTCGTTGGAACCACTACAACATATTTCTTTTTTATATATATATATATATATATATATATATATATATATATATATATATATATAATTAAATTAATTATGTATATATATATATATATATATATAATGGACTCTCCTTCGGTTTCGACGTATGAGGATCTGACAGCTTATTGATTCAGTTATGAAAGTTTATGCGGTAATCTTAAGTGGCATTTAAGACCCGCTAGTGATTTACAAAGGAGATCACATATGGAGCAAGTGTGAGGATTGTGAGATGAGATTACTGTTAGATTGGCTGACCTTTTAGATCTTGCTCTTGCTTCTTGAAGATGATTCAGACAAGCAGATTGAAAATTGCTGAGTCCACTAAAACATATATATATATATATATATATATATATATATATATATATATATATATATATATATATATACTAATTTAAAAGCCTCTTTATTGGAGGACATTTAAACTAGCTCCTGTGGGTCTTCACTGCAGAGTAGATGCGACAGGCAACTATAAACTACTGAAGAACTCAAAATTGATTGCTGCAGTAAAGTATTGTAGTAATATTTAAGTTTACCTTTTAAAAAGTTTAACGATAATTCTTCTTTCTTAATTTAAATAAAATTTGATGTACGTAGATCCTTACTTTACGTAGAAACTATTATTTTTATTTCATGGGTGACTTTCGCAGGATTTCGCAATTCATTTCGATTATTCCCAAGTTTATCTCCAAATTATAAAAAAAATTATCGAACAAAAAATTCATCGCAAAAAATCACGTAAAAAATCGGCGAAAACAATCAATTTTGGGGAATCAGAAATTTCAGGATTGCGTGTTCGGATACGGCTCGGAATGATTTTAATTTGCTCCCGAAAGGGCTGGATTCAAAAGTGGTATGATATTTTGGGCTAGAGCCTCTAGGAGCAAAGCTTAGAAAGCGTGACACAGTGACACACTGATATTTGCATTTATTATATGAAGATGTTGACCTATTTAAAGTTAGAAAGTTGTGTCTCTTTAATTGAAAAGTGTGAAACAGTTACATACTGGCATTCGCATTTATGATATATATATATATATATATATATATATATATATGCTCGATGTACAATAGCAGAGTTAATATTTATATTAATAATAAATATAAAATTTTGCTCAGCGGTAGCATACCTCTCTGTTTCATGCACATTGTAATCGTCAGTTGCTGATTGAAAACTGGCCGTTGTAAAATTTAAATATTGAAATTTAAACGTTACTGTATTGCTAATAGAACAGTCCATTACTTTCCAAAAAAAAAACAAAACAAAAAAAAACTATATACACTTTACATACATCCAAACTTAGACATTTAAATATGGTTTCAATACAAATATATACATGCAATGTTTAGCTTTAAATATAATATAAATGAACACAAAAATATCAATAAATATGTACATATACAAAAATAGATATACAAAGGTACATACAAATAATTTTTTTTAATATATTGCTAGGTGGAAGGTTTCCTAGACTGAAGTCAACGGCCGGGGTAGAATGTTTTCCTAGATGGAATCCAAGGCGATGTATCCGTGGACAAGCCATCGCTTTTCAGGTTGGAGTACATCAAGCTTCACCTGGAGAAAGATAGGATGCTCCTCCCTCTGTCTGTTCTACAAATACTTTCATGGAAATTGCTCCGAGGAGTTGCATTCGCTGGTTCCCAGACGCCATGAGTTCCAGCGCCTTACGAGGCTGGTATCCCGCTCTCACCATTTCACTGTCGAAACTCCTAAATGTAACCGTCTCTTCTACTCGCACCTCTCGCCTGTGGGACTCCCTTCCCTTCTCCTGTTTTCCTGTGAGCTATAATCTCCAGCTATTCAAATGTAATGTCAATCGACATCTCCAGTTGCCTTAATCTACCCTCATCCTTTCTTCTATCAATCCTATCTGATCTTGCTATTTCCTGTAACCCCTTGCATTCTAGTGGCTTCCCGCTTTGCTTGGGGTGAAACGCTTAAAAAAAAAAAAAAAAAAAGGTATAAATGTGCAATATAGGCCACGCCTGAATGACTACCTTCTCCGGCTTTCAACCGAGATATGTAAAGCGTGCCTTGTCAGATGCTCGGTTGCAGAGCGACCCTACAAATACGCCGAGTTATCAGAATGTTGATGATAATGACAATGATTAATACCTGATTTTACATGTGTTAAAATTACTGTGTCATATCAATAAATGACGATTATTTTTTTATTAGGTTCGTTTTATCGGGATTGCATTCTTGACTTAGAGGATTTTCCTGTAATTTCTTTCATATCTCCTCAATTCACAGCTGGCTAGATGTCGTCGTAAATTTTATGCAAACAGTTTATTTTCTCGGACTTCTCTCTTGTGGAGCTCCCTCCCAGCTCCATGCTTTTCAGCCAACCTTAATCTGCAAAAGATTAAATGCAATGTCAATCGCTATCTACTGTCCTCCTGATTGCCCTTTCCTCTTCCTGCTCATTATTAATGTTTCTGTTCCTAATTCTTTCACACCCTGTAACCCCTTGTGTCTTATTGCTTTACTGCCTTGCATGGTTATTCAAAATTTAAGGGTTTTTCTTTAATCAATTATTAATTTTAATCTAATAAGTTTATTTAATCAAGTTAATCTTTAATTGAACTTTATAGGAATAAAGTGTCACTGCCGACACTTAAGTTTGAACATAGATCGCCAGTGAGCAAATACAGGTGATCCCATTATTGAATTAAGTAGACCAATTGACCATAGAGGAAACGCTTTTAGGGAGTAAGCGTTTGTCTAATTCATCTCCATTTCTATTCTATCCTCTATTACTATTCGGATTACTTTTTCTAGTCTATCCTCTATACGGAGCGCTATTCTCTACTTTGTTCACTATACTATTTCTCTTTTCAGATCACTATACGGATTACTGTTCGAGCGAGTATTATCGAGCAAGTACTATTAGTGCGACTGTTATTCGAAGGCGACTGACACCAGTATTGTTCAACGGCGTTACTATAGTTGCATCTGCGATTACAAAGTCTCTACTGCAACGAGCATCACAAAAGTGACAAGGTGTATTCGTTGACATCACACAAGTGGCAACGAGTGTTCGTTGACATCACAAAAGTGGCAACGAGTGTTCGTTGACATCAGAAAACATGGGTTAATACTGATTAAAGAAATGTAGAAAAATATGTTCTACTTTAGAAGTTACGGTAGTCATATATTTACTTGTGAAGGTGACGATGGTCATTAATGATTAAAAACCCTTGAATTTTGAATTCTGACCTTCTAGGCGACCTGCTTTAAATATTAGTTATAATTTCCACTACCAGAAAATTTGTCTATCGTCGAAATTACTGCAACACATAGAAGGTTAGATAAATTGACACTCACGGGATGTATTGAATTCAAGACAGGCAGTGTAAAACATCAAGCTTATGTAAAAGAATGGGAACGATAATAAGGAATAAAAGACATTATGTAGATCTATGAAAGATAAG